CCTCTTGACATTTATCACATCTTCTAACATAACCATTAGCATTCTTAAATAGGATCGACCAATAAAATCCCAATTGCATGATCTTAGAAACAATTCTAAAATCTCCAAAATGCTCTACATATTCATAATTGTTGTAAAGAATAGTAATGTTTTCTACCTCTTCTATAAGGATACACATCTTAATGACTTGATCCTTATAGTTTCTAACAAGATAGGGTTTGTCCAAAAATTAAAATTTGGCATCAGAGATAAATTTATTCCTTTGGGGATATGATGGATCATACGGGTGAAGCCTTATTTCAGTTAATCGAGGGAGAGTAAACGAGAAATTGAGGAAAAAGTGAAGAGTCGGAAATTTAAAGGAGGGAGAGAAGTTAAACATGTATGAAATCGAAGTGGGGGAGGTGAAGCGAGAGTGTCTAAAAAGCCATTTCTTCTATAAGATCACACTATGTTTTTCTATTAGGGCGACAATCTCAAAGGCACCTATTTTTTTTCTTATTCATAATATCCTTCGTGGATTTAGCATAACTAGGAATTTGTTCTAAGACTCCCGTAAAAGGGATATTAATTGTAAGCTTTTAAACACCTCTAAGAATTAAAAGAAATGTTCGTCTAATTTATACTTCTGAAGTCTCTGGATAAAATGTGATGGTGGTCTTCCTTGTTCTTTTCCAGGAGGTGAGTTAGATCTTCTTAAATCTGGGGTAAGTTTTTCACAAAGCCTTTTAAGCTCAAGTTCAAGTTCTTCAAGACTAGCCTCCCTCTAAGTTTACTCTTCCAACTCCTTCTTACTCTTTAAACTGATGATTTTAACCTACTCTTTCCCTTTATTTTTTGGATTCATATCAGTATTACTAGTAAAATCCCCTGGGGTTTATTAATTAAAAAATTAATTATTTGCCCGAATTAATTTTCATTATTCCTTATGACTATAACTTGAAGTTATAACTGCTAGCGACCTTGGTACAAAGCTTAAACCTAGATTATCTAGTTTCTTTGATATAGAAACAACTTATGAAGTAAAAATTACTAACACATCAGTATCATGAACATTGGCTATCCTCCTATGATTGATTCTCTCAGAAGGCTATTGAAAAATATTGGTAATCACTCCCTTGATTCATGTGTAGGCCCTACTAAAATTGGTTTAACATCAAAGACCCTCTTGTTGCAGCATCTAAATTTGACCTGAAGATCCTAACAACCTAATATAAAAAGTTTAGATAATTACCCAATCGGGTATGACATGGCGTGGACACTTTCTAAGCAGCTCATTGTACCTCTAATAAGCTTTATAAGTGATTTATTATGTCATTCCTATGTTTGGTTTCTTTAGAAGGAGGGAAGTATTTGGCCAAGAATTTTTATTTTATGTCATTCCATGTGCGTATAAAGCTTAGTGCTAACAAATTTAGCCACATCTCATCTTTGTCATTAATAAAAAAGAAAACAATCTAAGTCTAATAGCATCACTAGAGACACTATTATACCTAAATGTCACACATAAATCTAGAAAGTTGGCTAAGTGTAATTTTGGGTTTTCAACAGGTGAACCTCTGAACTGGTTGTTTTGAACCATTTGAATTATGTCGGGTTTGAGTTCAAATGTATTAGCTTATATGGTAGGGTTATTAATACTCTGGAAAATTTTTTTAAGGGTTGACAAAGTCCCGAAGTGGTCTAAGCTGAATATTTTCTTCTAGAGGGTTCACCATTTCTCCTAAAATATTCTTTATGCTTTATGAGTTTTCTTAATTTTTTTGTTTGTTTTTCTATTTCAAGATCAAACAGTACTAGTTCTATAGATATAGTCCTACGTACACAAACTAAGACTAACAAGTAACCCTAAACTAATTAATAACACACATTACTCAAAAAAATAATTAAGCAAACATATTTGTAGAAAAAAACAAAAAAGTTAAAAGTCATAGTATTTCTTGAATTTAAACACTGTAAATAATCACACAAAAAGCTAAAACACAAAAAAAAATCTTGAACAAAATTAATATTATATATTTCAAATATAAACATCAAAATTTTCAACTAAAATCCTCTTTAATATAAATATCAAAGCTTTATAAGTGAAGCATGTGTAAATCACACAAGTATACTTGTCCATCAAGTATAGGAATTTAAGAGTCTTTGTATTGATCATACATAGAATGAGTTAATTTTTCAAAGAGGTGAAATTTCTAGTTTGCAAATCCTAGGTTTAGTTTGAAGGGTTGAAAGTTTGTGAATTTTAAAAGTTTTAAATCCTTGTTTTTAAAAATAAAATCTAAAGTTGAGAGTAGGGTATTCTAAAAGTGAGATTACCTCTCTTGAATTGGACCTAAGAAATCTAGATTTACCCAATTGATATAAATGTATTTAACAACTAGGAACAAATCTACTCCTTACCCTCTTCATGGTCATAATAAGTCTTGGTGTTTCATAACACAATTTAATTTCCTAAAAAATTTAAAACCCCTAGGATTCTATATTCTCTTTTGATTGCACTATCCTTGAAGTAACATTCATATTTGTCTAAAAAAGTATAAGATAACTTAGTTGCTCCACTGGCCTTCTTCCATCATCCTATATCATAATAAGTTTTAACATTTCAAGTGACCAATTTACAAATAAATTAAGCATGCAAAGTTAATATATCAACACTTCCATTAAGGTTTTAGAAATCTCACAACATGGATATCTTTAAATCTCCTAGATTACCAATCCAAGGGAGAGAAAGTTCTAGTTTTTAAACATGAGAGATTAAAACATCAAAAATTTTATTGAAATAAAAGTATAATCTAGTTTATATAAAAATAAGAATGATAAAACTAGATTTAATCTTGCTTTGCTCCACAAAGATTCTTTCTTTTACAAGGTAAATCCACATGCATGCACTTACACACACTTAAAATAGAAAAAATAATTAACTAATCACCCTAGAAAACACTTCCTCACACTCACTCGTCTTCACCCTCTCACAACGTCCAAGTAAGCAAATAACACACGAGATCCCCTTCTCCTTTAGAAATAATGAATTTATGCTTACAGATAGCCCAAACGTGTTGAAATTGAGGAAAAAGTCCATAGGTCAGTTCTGGGTACATAGGTTCTTGGACCGGCCGCCTACTTTTCATGCTCTTTGTAATATTAGCAAAACAAGGAGCTGGTTTAGGCGTCCAAGCTTCAGGCATGGGTGCCTAGGCACTGGTCTAGCACTTAGCACGAATCTTGCTCTTTTTACTCCCCTTACTGACTTTCAACCTGCATACTGCATATACAAATAAATATATCCAGGCAAAACATAAAAATGAAATCATATGAAATATCACAATAGAAAAGTGTTCTTTATTAGACATCTTGCAACAAGTTTCTGATTCAAAAGTTGAGCTTAAAACGGACGCATCATTAAAGGAATTGAAGAATTTGCTTGGGAGATATTCCTACACAATCTTGAAGATTGTGGTACAACATGGATGATCAAGCTTTTAGATTTGTTGTTGTTAAGATCATATCTTCTTGTTCAAATCATATTTGTTAGTGCTAGTGTTAGAGATAGAGAAACCAAAATTAAAATAATGACTAAAAAAATAAATGGGTTGTTGGTCTTCCAAGATCTTCTGAGTTGAGCATCCAGATACATCTAGATTGTTGACCAAATATCAATCACAAAAAAAAAAAAAAATCAAACTCATTATACAATATTTAATATAATTTATATTGCCCTTTATTGTTAGTGATTGTGCCATGTTACTCAAAGTTAAGGTAGCCAGCATGCCATGTCCTTACACGTTGAGTAACTTGAGGATAAAATATTAAAAATATCCACCTCAGTAGCTTTAAAATAATATAAAATTATATATACATATGATAAGCCAAGCCATATGTTCTATCCCCAATTTGATATGAACATACCAAGCCATGAGGCTAACGGAATCTCTAATTCAAACTTGACAGCCCTGACAACCAAGAATATTTTAGCTGATCTTATGAACTCCATATGTTGTAGAAGATCCTGAGAACTTCAATTGTAATAGATCATACTATTCTAGAACTGAATATACCAAACTCAACAATGTTGATATTTCTACCATTACAAATGTACTAACAGTGAAGGTTTGATGTGAAATATTGGCATTGCTGTTGGATTAATACCCAATTTGCATGCTAAGTTTTTTTAAGATACATTTTATCACATATTCTGATGATATTTAAGATGCCTAAGCATGCATGCCTAGGTATTAAGAAACATTGATTTATTTTATTTTATTTATTTATTATTTTGTGGTTAAGGATATGCTTACTGTACATTTTATAAAAATCTAAGTCAGACCTAAACACAAACATTTGAAGTTGTGTCTTGAACTGCAAATTTGATGTTAGTTTGGGTCAATTTAAATAAGCCATAAATATCAAGTTGAACTGAGACCAACCTGAAACTAATGACTCTATTTATTAGATTATGCTTTCTTTAAATCACAAATGAAGTCATATTAAATTATATTTTTTGGTTACCATTTTAGTTCTATATCAAAATTAGGTAATCATAAAATCATGGGTCAATTGACACTACATTACTTTTGATTTTTATTTTTACTTGGAATAAAATATATTTAGTATGTTATAACATATTTAATTATTTTAAAAAAAAATTCAAAAAATTTAGATATTTTGATTGTTTTTTTTTTTAAATTAATTTCTTTTTGAAAACAAAAATAAAAATATACAAGAAATGCACTAAATAAATATGCTTTTAGAATAAAACATAGGAGAAAAAAGTGATCCCAAAGAAGTTCAGATCAATTATGTGTAGGTTGGATTGGCACCCATATATGTGCTGGAAAACATATAATAAATTATCTTTTATTTCACCAAATGACCAAACTTTTGCTGAAATTTATACAGATAAACTTTTAAATTTTCATTTCCAAATGATAGCTTTAATGGACTCATATACTCAAGTAAAGTGGGTCTGTTGAAGGAATTCAATGTGTTGAAAAAAGATGAAGAAAAAAGAAAGTAAACTTAAATCATTATCTTTACATTTATCATCTCATAACATGTTAGCATTCATTTCATCTTTTCCCTTCAATCCAAAGACAAAAAGAAAAGCAAGTGAATGCCATTTAATGGAGTGATAGCAACAATCATAAGACTGATAACTCTGTCTAGTATATAACATACCATATACTCTGTGAGATTAAATTACATATTGGCTTTCCTAAACTGTCTCTGATGACTCAGAACGGCCGGACAGCGGCGGGCCGACATAGCCTCGAAGAGATGGAGTCCGGTTTGCGAGTTCGGATGCGGCTTGCAGGCTCTGTTTCTTCTGAAGCCTCCTCCTTGCAATGTAGCCCCGGATCCAGGGAGTAAAATCTTCGCTGATCTTGATCATGATGAAGAAGATAACGCGGTAAATGATGATCATGCTGAAGAGAACGGATAGATCCCACCATTTCGATCGATGAACTTCGATCTGAAAAACATGCTCGAGAATGTAGTCGCCAGGGATCTTGAAGTCATAGGGGCTCTGGCCATCAAAGAGCAAGCCACTGAGGTCATTTTGGTATTGTCCCTGCGAGAAGAGTGCATGCATGATAACAACAACATGATGGCTCTTTAAAAAACTGGTATGGGTTATGAATGTAACATTACCTGCAGAGCCCAGTAGTGGAAGCTTATGTATGACATTGGGTATCTCCAGACAGGCTTTGGAATGTCTTTTGGGAGTCTGAAGTAGCCAGAAACCAGCATAAAAATTCCCTGTTTCATGATTGACATAAGAGGGATTGATCAGCTGAATGACAGGAAGATGTATTTTCTTATTGACATTTATGGGGCTGTTTGGTTTGATTCAGGTTTCATGTAATGTGTTGATTTGAATAGTTGTATTGAAAATTTATTTTATTTTTCTGGGATTTATATTATTTCATTGCAGGAATTCATTCATAGTGAAGGAAGTATTAGTGTTAATGCTTCCATAGTGAAAATTTAGTTCATTTATTAAATCTTACAGATTAATGGTTATAAGTTAAATTTACAGTCCAAAATTTAATTTGTATGCATTTGTACTCTATGAGAGAACATAAGATGCAGATGAAATGCAAACATCATACTAATAGTATGTGAGGCACCACCATAAATTCATACCCCCCAATTCTTATATATTTACATATTTAACATCTAAACTTTGATTTAGTTTAGAAGTTAGATATCTATAAACATAAGAATTAAGTGGTAATCTTCCAAAATAAAAATTACAGAGCAATTTGAAGAAATATTTTATAAAATTACCTGAATTCCTGCTCCTAAAATGATCCCCATAAGAAAATTTGGAACAACACTAGCTATGGCCATCATCAAGCTCTCAACTACAGTAACACTGGAGTAGAGGCAAAGCACAAAGAACAGATAATGAAGGAATCCTGGATGAAGCCGCACCATGAAGTAGCATATGGTCCCAGAGAGGAAGGTTATCAAGATTAAAAATGGCATTGCAGAAACTGTATTGCCGATAACAAATGCAATCACTCCATAGTGCCCATTGAGTCTCTCTCTCTGAAAGACCTGAATCATGAGAATTTATTTCAAATAAATGAGCATTTATATTTTTGTTAAACCTGTTCCCCACTTTGGTTTCCTGTAAAAAGAATACTTTTAAAGTAAAAAATAAATGCTGCCAAATTTGTCATATTTTCTTTGGAGTAAAAAAGCTTAAAGTTCTCTATTTTGCATAGAGATGAACTTGTAGCTTAAGCTGACCTTCATATCTTCGACGAAGGAAGGAAAGCCTCCTATGGACATGAAGGTGACGAAACCAAAGACAAAAGATGCACAAGCACCTCTAGCCTGTTTTGCAATAAGAAGGAAGATTGATGAGTAAAATTTAAATTTAATTTCTAATGTAAATTTTTTTTCTAAATCAATCTGAATGTTTAGCAGTAGAGATATACCAGGATGGAGTTGTATTGGGTTCCCACATTTAAGTATATTGTTCCAATGCAAACAGTTACAACCAAGTAAATGACAAGCCTGAGCCAGTAGTAACCAAAATCTCTGGACATGTTTATGAAGGAACGCTTGGTTAAAACATAGGCTTGCATGAAGAAACTGGCCTGGCTTCCTCCGGGATCCAGAATAGTTCCTTTCTGCAACAAAAAGATAACTTTTTTTTTTGTCAGAACTTCAAAAAAGGTATGATTTTGAATCAATAAGATGATACGAGATTCAGAAACATACAACTCGAGAGATCTCATCCACTTTCTCTCTTGCTGAGTAGTAATACTGAGAGCGACGATAGTATTCAACCAGCCTTCGCGTTGCTTCTGATGTGGTGATTTTCTCCAGAGGATCATCACTCTTCTCGAACTGCAGAGCAAACGAATGAAGTTCAACAGAAGTAAAATAAAAATCAAGGCAGGGAAGAGATATGAATGAGATATTCCTACCCTTGCTTTCATTGAACCCTTTAATGTAGCTTTAACCTTATCAAAATCCGAGTTTACGCATCTCAGGAAATGATCTGATGGGTTTCTCAGTGATGGGCAAGGAAATCCAGCTTCCGAAAAGAACTGCAATATACTAAAAATCAAATAAATAAAACAATACAACAAAAAAATGTAAAAGAAAAAAAAAAAGAAGACACGTTTTATGATTCTACATGACTCATATGCCTTTGAGGCCTCTCCAAAATAAACTGTTTTGCCTCCTGAAAGCAAATAAAGCTGATCAAACAACTCGAACACCTCACTGCTCGGCTGATGAATTGAAGCTATAACAGTACGCCCATCTCTTGATAGTCCTCTCAGCGTTTGCGTCACAAAGAAAGCAGAAGCACTGCACGCCATACCATATCAAACAAAAAAAACTACAAACTTTAGTTCAGAATTCAACTTTTCTAAAACAAAACGCCATCTTTCCGTTAAAATCAGTACCTATCAAGACCGCTTGTTGGCTCATCAAGAAACAGAAGCCTCGGCCTCATAAGAATCTCAATTGCAATGCTAACTCTCCTCTTCTCTCCGCCGCTTATTCCTCTTAGATGCCAGTTTCCGATCACTGTATCAGCGCAGTCCTGCAGCCCCATTTCCACTATCGTCCCCTCCACAAGAGCTCGCTTCGACTCCCTCTCCATTTCATCCGGCAGCCGCAGCCTCGCCGAATACATTATCGTCTCCCTCACAGTCAAAGTTCCAATCAAGTTGTCATCTTGCGTCACGTATGCCTGCAACAGAAGCAAAGCTCTGTAAGAACAAGCAAGCTCCCCTGTTTTGAAACATTGAAGTGAAGATTACCACACAGAGAAAAAGAGAAATTACAGCGGTCCCGAAAGTAAGCTTCGTCTTCCGGCCATTGAGGAGAACAACTCCGGAGAGAAAAGCGTTGGACGCTAAGCGGCTCGAGAGCGCATCTAAAAGAGTTGACTTGCCGGAGCCTGACGGACCCATGAGAGCAGTGAAGCTTCCTGGTTCTGCGTACCCAGTGAGGCCTTCGAGCACACACTGCGTTTCACCGTTTCCAAGCGCAACCGTTACCGTCAAATCTTTCCATGTCAACCTCGCCGAAACGTCGCCGAGAAGGTCCGTGTTCGTCTTCTCTCTCCAAAGAGTTTCACTGAGTGGACTCAATCCTCCTGGGATCAACCCGTTGCTTGCGGGCTTGCCGGCTTCTATCTCCGCCATTACCGCGTTCTTCATCTTTCTTTTCGTTTCTTGGTCCGGAAGTTTTGATATATAAACAAGAAGATGAAAGAAGAGCAAAGGTGGGAGCTTTTTGGCGTGAGCTAGCCAGCTGAAGCTTCCTCTGTTATCTTCGGCCTCACAAAACGTGAAATTTATAAACAAGGCAGGGAATGCATTTCTTCTCTCTTTATTTTCTCTTTTAGATTTATAATGCAATGGTCAAAATATACAACCGATTAGATGTTAAAGTAGTAGAGATGTCTTTAGTATTTGATTTTAATTTTTTTTAAGTGAATTTCTTTGGTTTTGGTTTGTGGTGTCAAAGCAGTAGAGATGCAAGTAGAAGGGATTGATTAAAGCATTAATGGAGGCAGATGGATGTTGGTGGTGCAATTAATGAGGCGGGCAGCAGCTAAGCTGGTTATTTTCTGTTTATTTGATGCTTAATCGATGTGTGTGGAACGATGGGTGTTTGATGCTTTGCATTAATAGATGCCACGCTTCTGTTAGTTGGATGTTGCCACCGAAATGTGCATGTTAGCCCATGTTATGTTATTGCTACCATTGGCGTTTGATTGTAGTGTTTTATTATGGCTATGATATATTGCATTTTAAGATTGGGGCCTACATGGTATAAGACTAGTCCTTGCTGCCCGTGTGTATATATATATATATATATATGTATGTATGTATGATTTTTTTAATGATCGGATGTTGCTAACATGAAAGAATAACACTAAAATGCAAGACTTATGAGCTCAAGTTTGAGGACCCATAGATTATGATGATTTTAGTTTGGCATGAAAAAATATAAACTCCACATGAGAATTAGTGAAGATATATGCATGTTTATCTTCATAGTAATATAGTGAAGAAGAAGAATAATAGAGTGAAGTTTCATCCTAGGTATAATGAAGATCAATTTCACTGTGTTTAGGATATTTATGATTCATATCATATTAAAGAGTGGCTATAGCAGTATCATTATAATTGTTAGAAAGTATACTAGGGGAACATCATGAATTATGCTCACATTCAAAACCATTAAAGCCACATTATCTCCCCTTTTAAGAAATATATACAAAATACAAAAATTTCTCTTTATCAATCACAAATCCTTATGAAATATTTGAAGTGAAAACATCTTAGATTAAATCAAAGATCAACCAAATTCTAATTTTATAAAAATTATAATCAAATGAACAATTTTAATTAGATGAACCCAAAGAAATAAAAAATGATCCGGTCTGACTCCATAAGTGTCTGTCATGCAATCAAGTGAGATTTAAAACTTCATGACATCGATTAAAGAACCCAACAATCTTTAATTTTTACATGAATATAATCAAAATGTACATAAATATTGAATGAATGATTTCTAATGAAAGGAGGAAACAAAGGCTATTAGGTAGCGCTATGGAATTTAATGAAATTATTATAATACAATCCCAAAGTTCTAATTGGAACACATTATTCACATAGAGGGAACCATACATAAAATTATAGAAACTTTAGAAATTTAAAAGACTCTAAAACTCTATTTAATGTTTAGCACTAATGGTCACTATCAACAACCATCATCGCTTGCTCATTATAATTGCTCAATTAGCTCAACTAATTCCTTTTCTTAACTCTAATCACGATTGCCCAGTAATAGTCACCACACTACCATCTCCTAACCTCATCATCTGATAAATATCGGTTGATCATCGTAGCTTGTCCACTAATTACAATCATTCAATCATCATCATCAGTCTTTAATTCTTCTCCAATTATATCATTGCAATAATAAGAGAATGAACTAGTGTTTTAAATTTGAGATAATTAAATACATAACAAGTAAAACATTGCTATTTACAAAACTAGCACCCTTTTAATTTTCTTGAATTTATGTAGTCTCATATTCTACAATTTAGGGGAAGAGCCTCTTTTTTATTTGTCTGGTTATACAATTTAGGGGAAGAGCCTCTAAACAATATGTATTAATTTATTGGATCATTTTAACTTTGTCTGGTTATATGATTTTTCCCTTATTGATTTTTCATGTGGGAGCTCTAATGTCGCCCTAAACCCTCAACAATTGAATAATATATATAACACACACACACACACACACACACACACACACACACACACACACACACACACACACACACACACACACACACACACACACACACACACACACACACACACACTCCCTAATATATTCTTATAGACAATTCACTTAATTTTATTTGCCATAATAAGGTTAAAGTTAGCTATAATTCTATCATTTAGATGCCTTGAGTATTGACAATAAGCTAGTGAATAATGTGAAAAATCAATAAATGCCTCTTTTTTATTACTTTAAGCTCAAATCCAACCATCAGTGATATTAAGTGTTGAAAATTTTAATACTCAAGATAAGGATACACCTTAAAGGACCCCACATATGAAGAAATTAGTTCATATTCAATTATACGAAGAGTATCACAATTGGTTTTATTTGATTCTTCGTTCTATAAGGAAAAAGGGTTAGAGCATGCGAATTCATATGATAAAATCAAGATATTGTTGCTTGGAGTGTCATATATTGATTTTAATATAATTTCACACTTTTTAAAATATATAAGACATTTATGCTTATCATTTAATAGAAGATAAACTTTGCACTAAATTTTCTGGTGATTGAGTAAAAAAATGATACTATTAGATTTTAGGTTTGTATAAGAGGTATCTTATATAACTTGGCTAATGAATGTAGTTATAGTCAAGAAGAATAGTAGAGCCTAGAGGATGTGAAAAATTGCAATAATTTAAATAATACCACAAAAAATAACTTTCCCTCCTCTCAGATAGATAAGTTATTAAATGCTACCATTGAATATCAAATATATGTTTGTATAGATGATTATTTAGGATATAATTAGATGATGATAAATTCTACTAAAAAAACAATTTTCTTCCAAACTAATATAAGGATAGGCTACTATTGAGAACTGTTATATAGCGTAAAGAATACTAGTGCTACTCCTTAACATCTAATGAATGAAGTCTTTAAAATCCAAACTCTTTGTTCCTCTTACAACTCCTGCGACATTAACCATCTCACTTGTTCTAGTATTTAGAATCAAGCTTGTAGCATCAACTTCCAAACTTGCAAATTATTCTAAACTTATTTCAAAAGAATTTTTTCATTTAGATGAAGCCAATTATATAGTAATGATGCTAAAAAATTATTACAATTCAATAAATTGGATATTCTTATAAAATTTCAAATTGTCATGTCCAAAAAGGATTCTCATTTATATTATTATAGTTATTATTAAAAATAGAGAAAAAAAATTTATGGTTGGAAGATACTCGAATGCATACTTTGGTTGGATCAAGCTAGATACTGGATTATGTTTGTTTTCATTTAAATATACTTTAACTTAGGAGATTAATTTATTTTTCTTTAATCTCAGGGTTAGTTGAATTACTGAATGAACATTAATGTAAAACTTAATTTTCTAGCTCTTTGAGTATATTTTACCGTTTGTCTTGGAGATTTTGTTGGTTGGTGTTACGTTACACTTAATGATGCTGTATACTTTGGTGCTTGGGTAATGAGCTATGCATTCAACATAAGGGTTGCAATTTACCTTCCTAAAGGGTATTATTTGCCTTATAAGGATTTTGAAGAACCTACACCTTAATGAGATATTTTTAATATTTTAGATGTGTAAATCCCTTATTATTCATTTGCACATATGAAATATTTTTTGGAGCGCTATCTACTATCGACTTCATATCAAGGCTTCGTTACTGAGATTTTTGTAAGGAACCCTACATATTGCTTGCCCACTTGGGGTCTTTGTAATTAAAATATAATATGCATTACTATTCACAAAATAAGAATGTAATTAACTTGTAATATTAAATATATAGTAGTCTAAATGAAACCTTGTTTGAAAGAATAGATCTATAAGTATCTCCAAGAGATGAACACTACAATTTGATGAAATAAAATCGTATGAAGTGTTTAATTTTGTTAAGCCATTTAAGTGACGAGATTTTCCTATTAGATTTTTGTGAGGTAGATTTAGTGAACTAATAAATAATTTTTCATTTTTTTTCTAATACTCTTAAGTTCTCAAATTTTAAGTTTTAAGTGGGAGATCCATGCAATAACTATAAGATTAGATAATAGAGTTTGACCAAATATTAGATCATAAATTCAACTAGTATTTGCTTCAATAAGTTGGGTCGAAAGAGATCCCCTCCCCTCCCACAACCTAATTGAATGAATGTTTATACAAAAATTCTTTGAAGTGTTTTTTCTAAAATTATGAATGAGATGAAGATTATGTTGGAGATCAAAAAGTTAATCTAAGATTCATGAAGATTATTAGCTATACAATAGCCATTAAATTACTTATATCGGCTAAAATTTTTATACTGTTGATAATAGATGCCCTAATTTTAGCTTTAAATGACTAAATAGCCTTAATGCAGATAATTGATTCCCTTAAGTCAAAATTTTAAAATAATTTATTATTTTTGATCGCATTTTTCTATGCATGGGGATAGATAAATTATGAAAACATTCTAATTGTAATACTAATTATCTTGATAATTTTCTTGTCACATCTCTCATATTCACTTTTATTTTGAGATCGATGATTACTAATTTACTAGCATAAAACTTGATCTAGTTGACTTTAGCATATTAAATGGTTTATCATTTTCTTCATGTGATAATATCTTTCTACCAAATTCTCTTTTGAATTATGAAAGTGACAATATTGAGATTGGTTTTTCAAGGATTTTGGTTACATATGACATTCAAAATTTTGGATCTCAAGTAATATTAGTCATGGATGTGTTTAATGGGATGGAATTAAATGATTCATATTAAATTTGGTTAAAACAATATCTAAAAACTCTTATTTATTCTTTGTCTTAGTTGGGGAAGTAGTTTAAAATTTTAGCATAAATTATCTTGTTTGCTAGAGGAATGTTCAAACATTTTGTTGATGAATACTAATTGCTTGATAATTTGTTATTCATGTTTCAACTTGTTTGAAAAAATTAGTATACAGGTGAATTGTCTCTTGCATTAATGAAGAATGAAGATTACAGACTTCGAAAAAAAAAAATCTTCAAAAAAAATATCTAAGTCAAGATTTATTCTTAGATTTTACTAAGTCTCTAAAAAAAATATTTTAAAATATAGTTTAAGGGTACCTCTATTTTGATAAATTTTATGAAAAGTTAAAGAGTCCTTG